ATAACTAAATCCTGGCCATGTATTTTCAGAGAATGGGTAGACGAAACCCAGTCCTGCAGCGTCACTTTGCAATTTGAAGTTGCGAAGCACATACCGAATGTGGCTACTGCACTTGTTAGTCTATCAAGTGCGCCTTGCGCGTCCTCCATACATTCGAACAGACCGACGATGTCATCGGCGTTCTCTAAATCGCACAGTTTTTCTCCAGCTGCCCATTCAATACCTACACTTTGGGGTCCACTTAGTGCGTTTTCCAGTATTCCGTCTACGACAAAATTGAACAGGAAGGGCGAAAGAGGGCATCCTTAACGCCGCTGCTGGTGACGAATGACCTACTTAGATTGTTGTAAACTCTTACACGACCGGATGCCTGTGAATACAGTGACCTCAGTAGATTAGCGTACTTTTGGACATTCCTTTTCGAAGAAGGGATCAATGCATCCACGGCCAGGCCGGAATCCGGCTTGCTGTTCACGGATGTTGGCCTCTCTTAAAGGCGTTAGACGTCGAAGTATAACCGAAGCTAGTACTTTGGTGGCGATCGGGATCAAATTGATCCCGCGGTGGTTTTCGCGATCGTTGCGAGATCCTTTCTTGAAACTGGGAAAGATCATTGACTCGCCCCAAGATGAAGGAATGTGTTCTTGCGTCCAGATGTTTCGCAGTAGGGTAGTAATAGAGCTTATGAGATTATCATCCCCCATCTTGAAAATAGTGGGAGGGAGCTCATCAGGTCCTGCTGCCCTTACTCGCTTCAGTGCTTGAATACAAGACCGAACTTCTGCTTCTGCTGGAGGATCGCATGACACTGCCCACGGATCTTCAGTTGCAGATGAAGCAACCTAGTGACACTAGGCCAGCAGAACTGTTCGCTGAAGTATTCTCCCCAGCAATCGAGTTGTTGATCCCTGTTGTGAGTAGCTTGTCCCATCTTATCACAGACTGTTTCAATAACTGAAGTTCGCCGACCTCCGTTTTGCGTACCAGTCGGAACAATCTTTGACTGATGCATCCTCTACTTTCATTTCACTAGCTATTGTTGCCCACCAGTTCTCACGGTCCTTCTTGAGGCTCTTCGTGAGCTGGAGTTGTAGATGCCACCTAACTCTATTTTGATCCTGACAGGTCGGGATTTGTCGTTTTTGCTCCATCAAAACTACTGACTCCTGGGATATCCAATGCCTCCGACGGGTTTGAGGCTCAGACCCACAAGCAACATTCGCAGCGGAATGCATTACTCGCCTAATCTGATCCCACTGCTCATCTACATCACCATGTTGAGGTGCGCTTAGCTCACGCACTAGCTCTGATTCATGGCGTACACGGACTGCTAGAACAGATAGTCGAAGATGAGTGGTGCGAGTTTGCTGCATTCATCGCCGGCCAGTCAGTCGAAGAGTGAACTGCATCAAAACTAATGCGTGATCTGACTCAATGCGGTGGTCCAATACGACCTACAATTTTGCACTGAGCCACGCCAACGATAACTTATTCGCTATGTGGTCGATTTGAGTTAGCGTACCAGTTGAACTGAAGCACCCCGTTGCCGTCCGTCGAGATCTGTGTCGGAAGTTGGTGCTTGATGGGAACAGATGATGGTCTGCGTAGAACTGAAGAAGTCGATCGCCGTTATCTGTTCGTTGGCTTAGCAGAGCACAACTGCCTCATAGGTAAGCTTCTAATGTGCCCAGTTTTCCAACCTGCGCGTTGAAGTCACCTGCAAGTACAACTATGTCGAAGCTTTAACTCATCCGAATGAGATCGGTGAGTTCGTCATAGAAGGCGTCCTTTTGGGTATCAGAACTGCAATTGGTCGGTGCGTATACTGATACGATGAACAAACACCTTTTGGTGTTGCTTCCCTTCCGGACACTGACTGTTTAATGGGGATCCAATGGATAAGAGAGGACTCCGCCCTGTTGCTGAGTACAATAACTACCCCGCGCTGACCCACTGAGTGGGTTTCGTCGTGGCCTGATGTGCGAAGAACCTAGCTCGAAGACAAATCTAGCGCGCTCAAGTGGCTTATGGTAGTAGGAACCTGGATACGAGTCTCTAGCGCAGTAAATGTCGATCCCCAAGGATTCCATTGTACGAGCCAGACAAGCTTGTTGACCTACTTGTATCAGTGTTCTCACGTTGAAGGCCCCCAGATTAAGTGATTGGCGAGGCTTTAGAATCTGCTATCCATTCCGTGGTAAATCACTTACAATGCTATTTGGCAATGACCTTTGGCGAGCGACATCCAAGTTACTTGAGGGACTATTACAAGTCAGAAGAAGGGGAAAATGGAGAGGGCTGGGTACTGAAGACAAAGAATTAATCAAAGTTAGGGATATCTGAGCAGTAGCCCACTAATCACTACCCACCTCGCTCGATGCCAATGGGCAGCGCGGTCCTGATTATCCTGCGCGACGACCGATGCAGTATGAAATTATTTTTATTTTGTGTATGCATTGGGGTTTGATGGACAAGTACTTCTAGGGTGCCCAGCCACTAAGCAGGAGAACGATTAGGGTTTTCGTCCAAAGCCTTTAGTTCTAACAAGAACCTAACCGCAAGGCATAGGGTGAAGCGAAGCGGAGGCCCATTTACTTGGATCAATTAGTCCACTGATTTTACCGACTAAAACGTAAATTCTAGTCGAACCACCAACCTGGAGGACCAGGAGGCGGGACTCGGCCGAACCTCTACCCTTCGATCTTCCAGGCATGATTAGATCTGCGGCTTGAAAAAAGCCATCCCGTATAGCTCGTTGGGTTAGAGAGGTGCACAAGCCATCACCACGTCAAGGTGCACTCTGGTCGTGATGGGGAGGGGGATGCAGTCTCGTCGTGATGGGCTCTGCCTATCGTGCAAGAGCTCACTGTTGATTGTGAATAAGTGAGCCGTCCGCCCCCTAGGTCGTCTCACCCACACCTAAAGGTATTGTACCAGTGACTCAAATGAACTGGAACAGATTACACGAATTTCCCATGTTGGAAGTACGTTCTATCCCTGATGCACATTGAGACCACCAAATTTCGCTGTCTCTACGTAGGCTTACGTTGAGTTCACGTCTCATTACAAGTCGTGCTACGTTATGTTCATCGCCGATCAGAAGTAACGTCTGAATTTCGTGATTACGAGGAAAAGGCAGTGGTCGGGATATAGAACCGTTTCCCTTTTTCCGAGCGACAGAAATCTAGTCATAAAGGACCCGAATGCCCCTCTTTCGAAATCAGCTGGTCTGTTCTAGCATTGACATCTACTGCAATCACGATAGCAGCCCGAATCGCTTTACGCATGAGATTGTGCAGCTTATGGTAGAAAGTATCTTTGACTGCATCTGGGCTACAGTTATTGGGCGCGTGCGCTGAAACGACAGACAAGTTACGCCTTTCGTAGCGACGACTGTCTACTTTACACGAATCCCTGAGTCTCACTGCGCACAACCAACTGTTGACTGGGATCCTGTCTGGGAGTTCGGATTCAGCTTTCTCACTGATAGCCACACCGACACCAGCCGCAGCCTCAGGGGCACGTGAAGAGAAACTTCGCAAATGAGTTTGATTATGACGTCAATCGCATGTTGGAGCTGGAGTTTTGAATGCGATTTTCTTGGACACAACAGCAATGGCTAGGGTTTTGATGGTACGAACTAAACATACCTGTTGTCCAATGCGCATCACGGTGTATGCACGTTATATGTGATTAGTTTGAAGAGACATCAATACGGAAGATCTTCAGCCTGTGGAAAAGGATTNGGTGATACTTGGACGCTATTCGAAGCAGGATATGAGAGAATAGAAGCAGGATTACCATTCGAGACAGCTGTTAGTACGCTCGTCTGAAGACCCCAATGGAAGTGAAAGTATTTGACGGGGAAGGGAATTGGAAAACGAAAGTGTATATGGTGTAGAGCGATTTTCTCTCAATGAGTAAGGCTGTGGGGGCAAATTCTCGGGTAAAAGATTTCATATTTGTGTGCGCTATAGACTGTTGTACTATTCGGTCCCCCGGCCCAGAGTAGACCTTGTTGGAGGGTACACTCTAGCCTTTGCGCGAACTGAAAGGCAATAGCATTGTTCCAAACGATTCAGTGACCGGTTGGTTAGTTCATTCGCCTCTTCTGGTGAACCGTGTCAGGTAGATAGAATCCGACAAGGAGGAATTGACTATATTCAGTGGCTGGCCACACTAGCCACGTCAGAGCGGCGCCAAAAGATACATGGAGTCTTTTGTGTAAATAATCCGCCCTATCGTCGGTGTCTATACTAAAGGTATCCCGCCAACGAAACATAAAGTTCTGAGTTTTTGAAGCGCATCACTCGACTATTCTATGGGATGGAGTGAGCAGGTTAGTAACTTAGAAGTAAGTCGCCGGGTGTTTGGGAATATTTCAAACAAGAATTCGCTATCTCATCGAATCCTGCTCCGTAGGCTCCGTTGGTTAGGACACGTTTTGCGTATGTCCAACGGTGACCTGCCGCAGCGCGCCTTATTTGCAGTAGCTGTTGCAGATTGGAGAAAGCCACGTGGAGACGAGGCATGAAGTAATGTACAGAGCGATTAGGTAGAGTAGGTGTCTCTCGTCTTCCGGGTCAGGATCCAAAAGACCCCGAAACCGCATGGTTGGAGACATTAAAGGTCCTGGCTGCGACCGGACAGCAATGGCGATCTTGCTGTAACTTATCAGATCAGGACGCTTGAAATAATGTGTATGCACGGCTGGACTGTGTACTCTGTGTGCTGACCATAGAGGTTCGCTTTCTTTTCCCGCCCCTAAAATTAAGTCCAGTCCCTATCCTCCCTACACATTCTAACCGACCTTGTATGCATTACGAGTTTGGCAGCGGTCAGTGAAGTTCGCTTCAGTGCATTACGCTGTACTATGACAAATGTTACTCTATTACCTGTTCATAATCGGTCGCCTCACACGGTGTACGCCCAGTCTTTGCATCATTGTGCATGCATAGCTACCGTGCTTTAACGTTTCCTTTGTGATTCTCTTCTTATAGATAACATCAGAAATCTCGCCATGGAGAAGTTGGCGTCCAGTGTCCTGTTCCCTTGTAAATACTCTACTACCGGCTGCCCGGAGTCGTTTCATTATTCAGCTAAAGCAGAACACGAATCGTTTTGCGAATACAGGTGAGTCAGGTGGTTTTTACACGCATGTTTGGAGTAAAATCGGTTATCACATTCCGGCGTTGTGCCTAATTATGAACGAATAATAACTGTTGCTTTGCAAAAATCTGGTTTTATCAGAAGCTTTCTGTCCTGCTCTGCTCTTCTCCTCATTTCATTCTTGTGCATTTTTCTGTTTTTGTGGTGTGATCCGAAATTCAATTGCACCCCATTGCTGGCCCCAACTGCATACTGGTTCTCCCTAATCCGGATCGGGTTGTTCTGTTTCCAGACCGTACGATTGTCCCTGTCCCGGTGCTTCATGCAAATGGATGGGTGAATTGGAGCAAGTGATGCCTCATCTAATGCATCATCACAAAAGCATCACCACCTTGCAAGGTACGTTGTATGCACTTTGCGTCAGTCCTACACAGAACTTTACACATTTCCCTGTCATTTCTGAGATAAGTGCAGTTAGCTTAATCATAATCGGTTGCACCACCATCTAGTTAATTGATGCACGCCCGCATCGTCGGTGGTGGAGGTTGGTAACCGTGGATCTGTCGCTGCTTCCAAAATGAATCGACAACCGATAGTAAATTACCAAAACCCATCGAGGCTAGTTGCCATGGTCTTTCGTGTGTGCAACTATCACTCGTGCACACCCTTAATTTTCACGTCAGTTCATCTTTTCCGACTCAATATTTGATGTTTTTTTATTATTTGCACTCTACATGACTCGGGCAATGATTTTTCCAAAATTTGTAATCTCTAACCTAGTCCTTCCCATTTATACCCAAATCCCTCAGTTATATTTTCATTTTCGCTTTGGTGTTGCGCTTGTTTTACAACGAAAATAAGACATGTCGCTAAGTGTTGGCATTTGGTTCATATTTCACGATTCAGAGTCCAGGCGTTACAGTAATCTGTGTAACGAGTCCATAATTTACTCATGTGCTAAAGGGTGTACACTGCCGCAATTCCCCATCGTTCTGCTTTACGGTTGCGAAACCTGGTCCCTCCATAAGTGTCCTCAAATTGTTAACTTCTGGACTCAGAGGTTACTGCGGCTTCAGAATCCGCAGTGTATTCGCGCGTTAATTGCCCACAGCGCTATGAGGACACAGACTTTGATGACTGATCGACAAATTGTCTGAGGAGGGAGATCTTATGGACCGGAAACTTGGTGAAGGAGTCAAGATTGGAGATAGAAGTTAAACAGTTCAACCCAGTTCGGTTGTCTGAACAGTTACCTTAATAAAATTACCCACCCCGTTGATTTTAGTGCGGTTCTGATTAGGTGGCAGGTGAAATCAAATAAAGGCCAATCGCCTGCTTGTTCCATCGCGACCTATGTATACTGGGAAGCCACCTCCAGTCGAACACCCAACTGCTGTCTACCATCGTATTTCGCTGGTCCCTAACGATATTTTGCAACCCTTCCCATATCAACATGTGATGTGGAGCTCTCCTTGCAGTCATCATTGTGTCCATTTTAAATTAGCTCATTTCGTTCAGGTGTTAAATTTCATTCCNCCCCCCCCCCTTGAAATCGCCCCCCTCATACAGGTGAGGACATAGTGTTTTTGGCCACGGATATCAATCTGCCCGGCGCCGTGGACTGGGTGATGATGCAGTCCTGTTTCGGACATAGTTTTATGCTCGTACTGGAAAAACAAGAACGCGTCCCCGATCAGATATTTTTTGCACTGGTTCAGTTGATTGGGACTCGGAAACAAGCTGAGCAGTTTGTGTACAGGTTCGTTTGGCAATTTTTGAATATCTCTTCATGTTACTGTTGTTTTTCGCCATCGGCATATCCTCCGTAAAATGGCGTTCCACGCAAATCTCTTGCTAACCATTTTTTCCTCAGTCCTAATTTAAAAAAAAACAGCTGCACAGTATTGCACAGTTCAATGTACGGCATAGTCTGGGTCAAATCTGTCGCTTATGTAGCTGATGTCCTAATTGTGACCGGATTTTTTGTCATTTTGTTTATTTGGATACTGTCACGAGGTCCCCGAAAGTGTTTTTTCACTGATCCAAGTTACTCAAGTTTTACCCATCGCCTAAAAGAAACCAGATAGTGTGCGATATTTAGCGCATTGTTTGTGAACCGTCTAATTAACAGTACAATTTACTTTTCGTTTTAGTTGTGTAGACCAGTGTGATGAGCTCGAATAATTGAGCGACGAACGAGAGAGAGAGAGAAAACGGACAGCCGGAAACGAGGCTCTTCTAATAGTGTAGGTGCATCGGCTACAATAGAACGATAGAAAATCTACATTATCAGTAACTGGTGATGCAATGGTATAAAGATAAAGGGTATAACAGAACCACCGCAACTAGGCTGATTATTGTGGACACAATGAAATTTTTTTTATTACGGAATGGCATTCCCGTATGATGAATTCGTCTTGTAAATGAGGGGTGAGGTGAAAAGCTGGGAAGCACTGGACTGCTGTTTCGATCTGGTTGGGTCTGATCAGCAGTGCAAATCTATCGATCCAACTGGGATCGAACCAGGGACGTCACAGATAGAACGCCACCATACTAATCAATTTACCACGATATAGCCCAACTCATCTTTGCGAGCTTGTTGCGGATATCGCACCTCACTCATCTCAGCACTAGCCTCTAAGGTTATGACTCGGTTGGAAACTTTCACAACCTGACTATCTGCTGTATGAAGTTAATTCAATGTATCTCTGTGTTGATCGTTCTCTAACGAGTGCTTATCTTTTCTCTCGGATCCCCAGATTGGAATTGAATGGTCATCGACGGCGACTTACGTGGGAGGCTTGTCCGCGGAGTATTCATGACGGCGTTCAATCCGCAATCGGTGCATCCGATTGTCTTGTATTCGACTCGAACACAGCTCAGCTGTTCGCCGATAACGGGAATCTCGGGATTAATGTGACCATATCACAAGTTCCGGCACCCATATAATTATCTCTTTCGGTATTTGATATTTTTCACCCTGACTACAAGATTCCTCCCACATCCACTTGCCACTGCTATCTGGTCGCTATGAAGACCATATAGCTATCGAAATCCTACTTGGGATCATGAGCGCTTTGAAGTGGTTTGTGACGTAGTTCCAGTGTATATAATATCTGTTTTGGTTGAGATTTCTTATCTTGTCCAGTGACGTTTGCGCAACCCCTGGTTCTGGCCTACCACCGCCACTCCTCACTCGCGATTGTCATTTTACTCCCTGTGTGTACTCTTCCCTAATTGAATCATCTCATTTTGGGGAAAGTCACTGTCTGTGATGTGCTACCAAGCGCCCTGATACCGGATGTCACATCCCTTCCTTCGTCCGACCTGTCTCTACTCTCGCACGCGACTTGTACTTTCTGATCTTGATTCATTTTAGCTGTGCCGGTCGAAATATGCATAGTTCACCTCGGGAATCCACTCACCCACACATACGTAGAACTACTATTTCTCTATGTTCCGTCCTACTTGTAAATAAACATCATTCTTACCCTACTGCGTTCGTCATTTATTTCCAGTGGTTTGTTTAACTCCGTGTTTTCGTCTACTCTGGCCCATGACCACTTTATTGTGAAACTCGGCGAAGCATTGGGGCTTGATCGCACAAATTCATATTCGTGTTTTGATAATACCAGTGAAATTGCGAACACTACTCAAGGGCGTTCCATGTTACTCATTGGCTCACAGTGCAACCATTTGAGTCTACTCTGACTTCACTGTTCATTCACGGCAGCGTCAATATGTGAATAGCGTGTCACACTCACAATACACCTTATGTTGATCATATCTATTCTGTTGAATTTGCCAGCTACAATTACCCTCCCCCTCCCCTGATTCGGAAACTTTGAAACGAACGAGAGAGGGATCACCATGCAAGTCGCTTTTTCTTTACCTCATCCCGCGCTAGGAATGAACACTGATACTTCATCTTTTTACTGTTGTCTGAAGATGAGCCATATAGTCTTACAGCCCATAGTCGATTTCTCACAGGGTTCCACTCGAGTGACGGTATATTATTATTATATTTCACACACGTCTGACGCCAGACTGTGCCAAACAAATGGTGGTACAATAGTCTTAATAAAAGAAAAACGTTCCACGATTTGCGTGTGGGCTGAATACTGTCAGGTTGCCCAGGCAAAGGCAGGTGAATCTTCTTGAGGAATCCATAACCGGAGCCTTCGGTTAACCAAAGCGTGACCCGCAAGACAGCGAGGCGGTGTGTGAAAACCGCAATCTATTGGGGGCCGGTATCCAGTTCATCGGACCAGACTCCCTTCGGACGGGGCCAAACGTCCAAGGTCCCCAATACACCGATACCAAATTGAGGCGGTGACCACTACCAAAAACGGGAGGGTGTGTGTGGTTCGTACGCCTCCTCTTGGTTGGTTTGGAATCAGTTTTTTTGGCCAACTTCCCTAGGTGATCTTCAGTGGTCCATCAACCCGAATATCGGCTTTTCGTCCTCTCACTTTAGTGGGAAAATTCCTCCGCTACGAGAAGGCAGTGAGTGGGGCTTCCTCAGCAGAGACTATTTGAGACGCTTGGTCGTATGGTAGGTGCAGAGGAAGGATGACCAGCCGTAACCCTAGACACCCACCCCCGACCATACTGAGGCTTTCGGAGGCAAAAGCTTAGCGCGATTCCGCCGACACGTGGCCCATGAAGCGTGTTTATGAGGTTAGGCGTAAAAGATTTAGCGGACTGATTGGATCGGGATTTCGCATTAGGCATTAGAAGCCGGTTGTAGTTCGGACAGCTTGTCAACGTCCGTCCAGTGAGTTCTGTTGAGTGTATGAAAAACCTTTATATACTCACGGTGCCGGCCATGAGTTTGCTTACCGTAGTTATGTTTTAATTGAAAGGCATCACATGTGGTCCAAAACGATGGTTAAGAACCAGAAGCATGTGAACAACGTTTTCCGAAATGTTCACATGTGACTTAGGTGGTCACACCTACTAAGTGTACTTTCTTTTGGGGTCACTGATCCACAAGTCATTGAGGATGTTGGTTTGCCGAGGTGATGTGACCGGAAAAGACTTCTTTGTCTTCTTCTCTAGATCTACCTATTACGGTTATCAGGTTTCGCTTTTGTTCGCTGTCGTGTTGGCTATCGATTTTCCATGCGAGACTTATTCCCAGCTCCATACTTCTTACAAAACGACCGGATCCAATCAGATGATCTTGCCAGATTTGTTTGATGTCTACGTGTTGAAGTTTAAGACACGAATAGACCTGCTGTTTGGGTGAAAGCTACTTCTTACAGCAGTATGTGTTGTCAATACCTACAAATCTTCGCACAATCTCAAGGTCTAATCTTCGCTTAGTGGTTTTCATTTTTATATTGTGATGATTTTTGGTCTTTCGTGATCTTACTTGCTGTACGGTGTTGATGATTCATCTATGTGTATGTTCGAGTCAGATCATAATTAGCTTCAGACCACCAACACCAAGTTAGTACTTGCTTTTGTTCTTTGAGGGTGGTATTACAACAGTCCAACACGAACAAGGAAGCAGTTTGCTGGTGGGACCCCTGCCTTACATGGATTTAGACAGAGGAATGTCCGTTGTTGTTTCGTCTAATCAGAATTTAGTGGACAGCACCAGAGAACAATGTGCCCCTGTTCTCCGGGCGCGTACTGTAGTAGCAGTATTGCATAACTATTGCCTTCTTCCATAGACCTATCAAGTTGAACCACTGTCGAAGTTAACTCTCATCTCATCATAAATGCTGAGCCCACGCACACATTATTACGCCATATGACGGGTGACGTATGGTTTTTGTTGCTGTCGAT